CCTCCGGGTCCCTCTTTGACAACGTTGCAATTTCGGGTGACATGTCTTCTTGGACATTCGACTCTGCGAATAAGGGGTGCTCAACTCCATGGTAAGGGATGGGGGATGGTTACAATGTCAGACATGGCGCGAGCGCACCGATATTGTGTCTATCCTCCCCTCTTTTTGTTTTCCTCCTCTTCCCTCCATCACCGCTCAATGCTCCCTCATCCTCCTCATCCTCCTCCAGTGTATCCCCCTCCCGCTCTTCCTCATCCTCCTCGTCCTCATCCTCCTCCTCGTCCTCCTCCTCCTCCTCCTCCTCCTCCTCCTCCTCCTCCTCCTCCTCCTATATCCCTCCCTCCTCTATCGATCTTCCTTATGAATCACTCCCTTCGTGACAGCACCAGGCGTGTCGGCAGGGCGAGCCAAGCGCTTCGCCTGCTATTTCCTCGCCAGTTGTAACTCTGACGCTAAGCTCTCCAAAAGCTGCAAGGATAGAGGGCGGATCGTTCTCGAAATAGTTTCCTCGCCTTAGCAACGAGCACACTCGCTGGATCAAACTTTTGAGAACTACAAGGCTGAAGGGCGGATGTTGTCTCAATGGGCCGCTCGCATTCGGGTCGCGCGTCATCTTGTTCAAAAGCTTCCGACGGCAACAAAGATGGGGTGCGGCTCCTTTCTCAAAATAGGGTCATCGCGTGGGATGTTATCAAGCTTTGTTACTGTGAGTCGAAAACTGCGCAAACGTTACACGGATGGACGGCGGTTCCTTTTCAAAATGGGGATCCCACTTCAGACTTCGTTAATCGGACTAGAAAACTCGAACCACGCGGCAATCACACGGATGGAGAGTGTTTCGAAACTGGACTCTCGCTGAACAGGTCCTTGGACTTTCTGGCCTCACCCCGTAGCACTCTTGTGGCTAGGGAGATGGCTGGCGGCTCCTGTCACGAACGGGCTTCTTGTCCCCTTCTCCTCCCCGTCCTCCTCTCCCTCCTCCTCGTCTTCCTCCTGTTTCTCGTCTTCCTCCGCCTCCTTGTCCAGCTCCTGATTCCCCCTTGTCCGCCTGCTCCGGATCCCCCCCTCCTCCCGCCGGCTGGGCGGGCGGGCGGACGGGGACGGCCCACAAAGTTCACGCCTGAGCGTCCATCAGGCGACGGGCCTCGGCAAGAAGCGTGTCCAGACCGCGGTTGTACAGCTCGTCGTCGGCTCCTCGCGGAGGGGGGGGAGGTGGAAAAGAAGATGCAGCAGCCGCGGAAAAAGCAGAAGAAGCAGGACGACGACGACGACGACGACGACGACGACGACGACGACGACGGGTGGAGTACACCTCTGCCCGCGTCATACCACCCGTAGGCGCCGACCGTATCTACCGTGCCACAAGGCTCCTGCGTCACTCTGGTGTGAGGCAACAGGTGGTCGGTTCAGTCCAAAGCCAAACCATTGCAAACACCTGCACGGCCACGACCTGTCGCCGCCCCTGCCTAGTGATAGGCCTGTTCCGCGAGCACTAGGAAGGAGAACCCCCAGCCGCCTCGGGGGCGCCAGGCTCTGATGAAGCTGCTGGACGGCTGTCTTGATGATCTACACGGCCATTTATCATGATCCCGTCCTGTTCCTTGTGTTCCTATCTCTTGTCTCTCTAGTCTTCTGTCCACGGAGGGGCGACGTTTCTTGTCTATTAGGAGGGGCTGCTCACTGTAATGAAAAACGCAAAAAGCAAGTCATTGCGAGAGACTTCCCAAGCCGCTCCGCGCGGGTAGATCTATGAAATGGCATCCTTCTTCTCGTTATCGACTGCTGACTCAATTTCGGCCGCTAGCCGCAAATTTCGAAAACTGCGCAAACATGCCAGTGCCGGAAGATCTCTCATGAGCTGCCGCCATCCTTTTCCCTGGCACCTCAACAAAGAGCGCCTGGAGGGTGTCGGGATCGACGCCACCCGCTGGACCGGAGGCGACGCACCTCCATCCAGCACGTCGCCGAGCCCACCCCGCTCTGGCATGATTCGGGCAATGTGGGGGCCAGCTTGCCCACAGTCGAACCGTGTAGCAAGGATGCGCGATGAGGATGCAAGAGCCTGGGAAGCCCATTCCGAAGCTTTTCGAGCGGGGCGGTGCCAACGAAAGTAGCCAAGGATGGACCAAGGAGGCAAGGATGCAAGGGTACCCTCAGGAAACTTGCCCATCCTTACTACGCGGGTTAAGTGTAATCTTTGGGTCGCCTGTGCCCGCTGGAGCCCGTCTCGCACCACGGCACACACCTGGAAGTCTCGCGGGACGTCTTGGCGGTCGGGGGCTGGCCCAAGAGGCCGAAATCGGCTGAGTCCCTTAGGCTTCATCATAACATTCTCGCCGCATCGGTCGCAGGAGCGACCAAGGCGGCCGAAAACCCCCCAAGACTAGCCCAACATGGCCCGAGAGGCCCCCTAGAGGGCCCAAGAGGCCCCCAAGACGACCGAAGAGGAGCCCTCAGAGCAAGCCACTGTCGCACTGCTGGAAGCCAACCCCTCCGATATTATTCCAAGACTCCCGAGAGGCCCACAAGAGGGCCACAGAGGCAATCAGGAGCCCCATAAGAAGACCCCCCAAGATCCACAAACATATCCCTAAGGTCTCTGGAACACAACCCAGACTCAGTGGCTGGATGGGCCGAGGAACATTGGAGTCCAACCTCTAATTGAAGTCGCCACTGCCCCTTACCCCCGGCCCCCCATTCCGCCTCTTGCACCCAAGCTGCTCACTCATCGAGGTCGCCAGAACTGGTGACAAGGCCTTTTCAATGGCGCTCTGACCAGCCTGCGGGCGACCCGAACGGCCACCACATCCTCCCCACGCACCCCTGTAGGGAGAAGTTCATCGGCTGGTGCCACGGCCTGCCATAGCTCTCCACAATATGCCTGCTACTGGCCACGTGACATAGCGTGTTCTTGCAGCGGCAGCTGGGGCACTGATGCATACGAGCTTTACGTATGCAGGCCCCCTCCATCATTTGGCGGCAAGCCCAGGGGGGAAGTGAGAAGGAGAAGACCTTCTCAGAAGGCTCGAAGTCCCCTGGCCTCCTGGGAAATGTTCTAAGCCCCCCCTGAAGACACAGAAAACCTCTCAGAGGGCGGGAGGGCTTCTGAGAAGGCCTCCTCCTTCTCGCTTTCCCCCCCCGCTCGCCGCCGAACCGTCCGAGCCATCGCCAGCGCCAACGTCGGCGTCGTTGTCAGAGCCCTGGCTGCGGCAGCGCGCGAAGCGGGCACACGTCGCGCGCGCCAAAAGAGGGAGGCGGCGGGGCGGGACGCATTCTCCTGGCGAGGACGTGGAGGACGTGGCCCTGCCCTGCCATGCCGCCACCCCCATGTCCCAGGGGAGACGGAGGAGAAGGCGGAGGAGGATCGGCGGCCCCCGGGCTACGCTCGAGAGCCCCCCCCCCCCCGAGGAGGAGAGGCGCGAGGCGAGGGGGGGGGGGGGCGAGGGGCGAGGCTGCCGACGAGGCCGCCAGGGAGGCGCGGCGGCGAGCCTGGCCCACCCGCCAACCGGAGGAGGAGGATCGGCGGCGAGCGGGCGGGGGGAGCGAGGAGAAGGCCTGCTGAGAGGGCGGCGGGGCTTCTCGGAAGGCCGCCGGCCCTCTGAGGGATTTTTCTGCGTCCTGGGGGGGAAGCTTACGAGAAACTTCTCTGCAACCTGGGAGACTTCCGAGCCTTCTGGACGGCCCGCCCCTTCTCACCTCCTTCGGGGCGGGAGGAGGGGAAGGAGGAGGAGGTGGAGGAGGGGGAGGAGGACGACGACGACTGGATCAAAAAGAAGCCCCGCGGCAGGACACCAAGAAAGCCTGGTTCGCTTGCACATGAGGTCATCGAAGCGCTCACCTGGCGAACACCGTTCCACACGAAATTCGGCGGCACGGGAGGAGGGAGGAAGAGCAGGAGCGGGCGGAGGAGGCCGACGAGCAGGAAAAGACCGAAGGAGAAGGAAGAGGATGAGGAGGAGGAGGACGACGACGACGACGGCGACGCGGAGGATACACAGCTACGGGGGTTGACCGCACACGCGATGGACGGGTCGGAGCACGAGCTCGCCCTCGGGGTCACGAGTGCCCCGCGGATGGATCTAGCAAGCCCGCGGCACGAGGATCTGGCAAGAACGCGCCACGCTCACGAATGACGAACCGACTTCGGCCCAGAGATCGTCCCCTCATGCACGGTTGAAGCACAATGTGCGTTGTCCTCCGATGGTCGCGGCGACTTCAGACACCCGTCTGGAAAAAGAAAGAGCACCGGGAGAAGAAGAGGAATAATACGAAGAAGAAGAAGACTGACTCAGGTTGAGTCGGAGCATGAAGCGAGCTCCATCGCATCCAGCGAAAACACAGAAACCATGGTCCCCAGAAGACTGATTCAGGCAGATTCAGAACATGAAGCGAGCTCCACCGCACCTAGAGAGAACTCAATGAAAACTTAAGTTAAGGTGAACCCAAAGTCCCCTTGGATCTGCAGAAGGAGGAGGAAGAGGAGTACGACGAGAAAGGAGGAGGAGGAGGAGGAGGGGGACCGCTGTAAACCCTAGAGTCATCAACGATGTTGGAATAAACCCTCCCTCCAAACTCCTTCTTCATAGGCCCTTACCACGGTTCATTTCCACTGAGGGAACCGCCTTGTTGGAAGACAACCGATTGAAGACCCTGAAGCATGCCAAAACACTGTTCTTGGGATTCCAACGCCACGGATTAACCTGACTGTTGCGTCTTGACGATCCTGAATCGTGCCATAACGCCATTCCTGGGAGTTCAACACCGCGAATCAACACAACTGCTGTACCCTAAGAATCATGAATCCTTCCAAAACACACCCAAAAAAAAACGAATGCGCGCGTCGCTGAAGCGATTAACACATTTTGAAAAGGGCCCGCCCTCAATCCGTGAATCTCTTGCCATTCTAAAACACGAGTGTGCCCGGCGCTAATGCGAAAGCCACATGTTGAAATCGACCCGCCCTCAATCCGTGAAGCTCGTGCACATGGAAAACGAATCTGCACAGCGCTAAAGCGAGAGCCACATTTTGAAAACGACCCCCCTCCATCTGTGAGACTGTTGCCACGCTTTAAGGTTCAGGGTCATAACTGGTGAAGAAATCTCAGGCGAAACGTCCGGCCCACCCTAAAAAATGGCCTTGGGGTGCGACAGGGAAAAGTTTTTTATAAGGAAAAGGAATGGAAGAGGAGGAAGAGGAGGACGAGCAGGAGGAGGAGGAGGAGGTCAAGGTCAAGGCCGTCGGGGGTCGCTGTCTCTAGCCACAGAGAGTTTAAAACAGTTCGCGGCCCCCTGGGTGGCTTCAAGGAAGCAGGCCCCTGGTATCGTTGCCAATCCTGGGGGCGAGCCTGGGATGTCCCAGCCCCTGGTTGAATCTAGGTACTAGGTACCCCGCCAGCAGGGACACGCTGGCACCTCGCGGTTACGTGAGCGGCCAAAGCAGGGAAAGCGGCGCTGCTGCCGTCGCGCAGCGCGCGCCTCCCACGGGAGGGCCGGATAATTGCAGGCAAAACGCCATTTGCACGAAAACTCCTCCACCACCACGCCCCCTCCCCCGCCTCCCCCACCTCCAGATCTGACGCGCCAAATGCGCGCCGCCTCGTGACTACTTTGGGTTCGTTGTCCTTTTTCTTCGGATAATCCTCATATTTGTTTTCTTGTTCGCTGCTCTCGTGTGGGATAACATGCTGTGCGTATTCCCACATAGTCGGTGCATGCAACAAACCTCCATGTTTGCTGATCCTCGTTTGTCTGATCTTCCCATCCGAAAGGGGGCTGGCGATGGCGTTATCTCTGTCGGCGAATGGCGCGATTACTCGGGATGCCAAGGCGTTGATATGGATGCATCTTGCCACGACCATGGAAGATCCTTACTTCTGTGATATCGCGATGTCCCCGATCTCCTTTCAATGGTGGTGAACAATGTTGCGCAAGTCCATTGCATGCTCTCCCATTGCACGGGTTTGTGTCGGCTTGGCCTCCATCGGCAAAACTGCTCGACCAAAGTATTTCTCCATACGCGTGTTGGCCGCCAGCTGGAGAAGATTGGCGATATCAAAGAACTCATGTGCACTGCGACATAGAATGTCGGCATTGTCCTTCCCAACCCGCGAACGGATACAATCGGAGTTCGCTGGAATCCTTATTTACTGGCTTGTCAAATGGTGCACTGTAAATTCGCCACGCTCCACCTCCTGGCAATTCTTTGTATTTGTTGGGCTGCTGATGCTTGGAAGTGCAGCAGATGTCCTCCGATCCTGTCATAGAAATAAAAGTCCTCAATATCGTTCGCTCGCACTTCCTCCAAACAAGACCAACCAGATTGTGTAGCAATCCGATGAAAAGCAACAGACCTGGGGCGAATCCACGTGCCGACACACGGTACTGAAGTGTACTTGAAAACATGCTGGTGTTGACAATCGGCCTGCACAACCGGTTCCTGATCTGATTCGACTAGTATCGCCTGTCCCATTTCTGGTGAGGCTGTTTCCATAAACATCAGTATTTCTACTTGGCTTCCTGACTTTGTTTCGCGAGTGCGTGCGACGTGCCCTGTCTCTGCGTCTCGCACTCTTGCTTTTCGAGGTCACACTGCCGAATCGAAATGCGGCGCAAGAAAGCACGGCGGCGGCAACTACGGTGGCGACAACACTACGAAAAGCGGAATGATCGGTGTGCGCCGAAGCCCTCCCGACTCCCCCTGCCCTCAGTAACGAACTGGTGAGGGCCTGGGTGCCACAAGATCTGGGAAGAAATCATGGCCCCTGTCATGACTGAAGGGGCCCTGGGACACATAAATAAATAGACACAAATAACCGGAATCCCCATATTTCCCCATATTTGTGGGGTCTCTGTCTTCCCCTCCACTCCCCACAGTTCCCCACATTTTCTGGGGAATCGACGATTACTTGTGTCTGTGTTTTTTCCCTCCTGAATGACACCCCACCCCCCGCCCTAAGTCAGCCTCCCCCTCGGACGCCCCCGATCGACGATCCCTCCCCGTCCCTCCTCCATCCTCGCCCTCCCCTGCGATCCGGCGCTGCAGAGAATTGCAGCACCGCGAACAATCACGGCCGAAGCCCCAGACCCCATCTTTCGGCGGCAGTTTCCGAGCCGGACCGATCTGCTGTGGTCCTGGCGCCCGACACCAGACGAAAACTCCCAGTGCGAAAAAGTTGCAGCGAGCAGATCTCAGGGTCCCCCGCCCTCCTCGCGACAGCTCGCCCTCCCCCGCCCTCCTCGACCTCCTCCACCATCCTCGCCCTCCCCCGCCCTCCTCGCCCTCCTCTGCCACCCTCCTCCCCCTCCCTCCTCCACCATCATCGCCCTCCCCCACCCTCATCGCCTCTCTGCTGCTCTCCTGCCCCTCCCTCTTCCATCATCCTCGCCCTCCTCCACTGGAGGACTCCCAGAAGGGGTCCGAGTAGATGGCGTCGGAGGATCGCGCCGCATCGCCGATGCCTCAACGATGCATCGGCGATGCATCGGCGACGTCGGCGGCGCATCGGCTACCCCAGCGTGGAGGAAATCGAGCTCCACACCGAGCCGCATCGGCGATGCATCGGCGATGCGGCGCGATCCTCCGATCCCATCTACTTCGACCCCACCTGGGAGGCCTAGACCTTAGAGGCGGCCGGTCGGGACCCAGGAAAATGGGTGAGGCCAGGCCAGGGGGGGAGGTGAGGCCAAATCCGATCAGAATCGGTCCCCAGACTTCTCCCGGGTCCACCTGGTGCAGTTTTTCGCCATGGATTCGTTTCTGACGGTCCCATGGCCCGCAAGCGGTCCCTAGAGCTTGAAGTGGGCAAAAAAATCATTATCCCGGCAAAGCAACCTAACAGCGATGTGTATAAGCATATCTGGAAGTATTCCGCTTAAGATTCAGGTGAGAATCCAGTTGTAGAATTCTGCTGTTCTCGCAGTCGCAGTCGCAATGACAGTCGCAGTGGCAACGGCCTTAGGATCCAATGGAATCCTAAGGATTCCTAGGGATTCCTAAGGCATCCTTAGGCATCCTTCGGAATCCATAGGAGTCCTTAGGAAACCTTAGGAATCCTTAGGAATCCTGATTCCTATGGATTCCTAAGGATTCCTAAGGATTCCTGAGGGTTCCTAGGGAATCCTAAGGATTCCGAAGGATTCGCCTGCCTCGGCCTCAGCCTCAGCCTGCCTCAGCCTCAGCCTGCCTCAGCCTCAACCTCAGCCTGTCTCAGTCTCAGCCTGCCTCAGCATCAGCCTCAGCCTCAGCCTCAGCCTGCCTCGGCTTGCCTCAGCCTCAGCCTCAGCCTGCTTCGGCCTCAGCCTCAGCCTC